AAAAAAAAAATTCCAAGCACACGTACGAATTAATATATAAAAAATTGAGTGTTAATTAAAATTTATAAGTATTTGATATTTCATACATTTTTATATTGATATGAAAAGAATTATATATAGGTAAATAACTCTTTTAAAAATCCATTTACATGAAAATTTGAATAAGAAATATATTTGTTCTCATTTTCATACTCATTTTTCAAAAGATCAATTAAATAATTATTTTTATTTATTTTTCTCAAATTCACCGAATATAACATAAATCAAACACGAAATTTCTTGATAAATAAATCACCCCCAAAAATATAAATAAAATTACTCGTATAATATTGTAGTTGTTGTTAGCCTAATAAATTTTTACATGAAATATAAAATTTCCTGCTAAATAAAAATCATTCTCACACCATATAAAATCTATATGCATATACAAATATCTAATCACCATAGAAATAATTTTACTAGTTATGTAAATCAACAGTGAGAAATTAGATATTTGTAGAAATCCTCACTTTATTGTCAGCTGAATGTTCAAAATGAGTGAATGGTGTTTTGTTTTCTTGTGAAGATGAAGTGTTCGTTCTCGAAAATAATATTACTTTTTCAAAATAGTGAAATCTATTTAATAATAAACACTTTATTAAGCTTATTTTCAAACCCTAATAATATTTACAAAAAGTGAAACTCTTTATCAACTATATCATATAACATTATTCGTCAATACACACGAATAATCAAATTGGTTCTTAAATATATAAAATTCTATGAATTTAATCATTGAAAAAACAAAATATTTATTTTAGTTCTTGAAAATACAAAAATTCCCTAATTAAATCATATTATTAAAACTTGCAAGTCTATTTTGCTATTGAAATGTAATTTTAAAGATTAATTATGTTCAAAGTTTAAGTATATAAGTTATAAAAATCCTTTTTTTGGTGGAATGGAAACAGTGGTCAAAACAAAATTACTTTATCTTCATTATAATTGAGGAGAAAAGCAACAGAAAAAAATAGTAAATTTTGATAATTGAAAATTGAAGTGTCTGTGACTGTTTCTCACACATTTTGTGAAACAATGTAATCGTAATCATGCTTACTTAAGATAATGAATCACACATACAGAATGCTTCTTCAAGAGATTAGGACTAATTAAGTACTCAATTATTTAATTAATATATAATATATGTCCTTTTCTGATGATTGATAAATTCTCATTCAATAATACTTAAGAGGAATTTTGTGTGGTGCTTCTACTGTGTAGCATTATAATTTACACCATTTTTGGACATACATTTTAGGGATAAATTTGAGAACTCACCCTTTAAGCTATCTATAAGAAGAAAGCATTATAGCATTTTGGTTACGGTAATGGATCTGTTTGGTAAAAGCTGGATATGGTTTTCCATCACAATGAGTTGCTGAAAAAACACATTCATTAGGTCAATTTTATGTATGACTCATCAAATGAGGAACATCAAAATTGAGTCCTTTCAAGAAACAAACATAAATGCATTTATTTTCCATTATAAAGGAAAATGGATTCTACTCAAACTTCCCCTTTCTTACAATTATGAAGAAGTTGGCTTGCAATTTATGTTTTAGAATAATATCTTACCATGTCGTATTCTTTAGTGATTTTCTTTGTTTTTGTTATTTTATTACTACTAGACTATGTTTACGTTAAGTGGGTTTGCATTTCTTGTTACATAATGTTTATTTAAACTATGTTGCATATTAATAAAAGACATGTCATTTTTTTACTTGCAATTTTAATTGTTATTCACATATCTAGTGTTAAAATATGGTATCAAAGTTCTTATTAGGCTTGATATATCAAAGTAATATTCTTTGACTTTCGTTTGCAGCATAACATGACTTCAGAAGGTAGTTTTGTACAACCAACTATTCCTCACTTTGATGGTCACTATGATCATTGGAGCATGCAGATGAAGAATTTTCTATGCTCTAAAAAGTATTAGAAATTGATTGATCCGGGTTATATTAATAGTACAACAGAGACCAATGTTTAGCAAAAGAAGATTGATAGGATGAAGGTGAAAGATTTCAAGGTAAATAATTATTTCTTTCAAACAATTGATCGCATAGTTTTCGATACCATTTCATCAAAAGACATTTTCAAAGAGATATAGGAAGCTATGAAGAAAAAATATGTTGAAAATGCAAGGATTAAAGGTTTCATCTTTGATTGAAAGTTTTACATCTACTAGAGATAAAACCAAATTATAATACATAAGTGAATGTGCAAACCTCATCTTACAAGTCTAAAACTGTTGGAAGTCTCACATCGATTAGAGACAAGGTCAATTCATAGTTTATAACTGAGTGCAAACCTCACCCTACAATTCAGTTTTGTGGGATTGAGTTACGCTTAAAAATCCATTTCTAACAAAAAAAAAAATCTTATGACATATATTGAATTGGAGTTTTCATTTTTTTAATTATTAACTAAATCAAAACTTTCTAAAATAGAAATACCAACAATGCATTCTCTAACATACAATTCATAACGTACGTATTCTAAATGATTAACTGAATTTTGTTAAAAAACACAATTAAGTGGGCTTATTTTCTTTATCTAATAAACCTCATTGGTAATGTTATAAAAATTATATATAAATTTTAGTCATTGAAGACAGTGTTTTAAAAATAATGATATTGCTAACACTGTTAGAAAATCATTCTCGGTTCAAAGGTCCATATACATAATTGGTGCACTAATAATTTTTTCAGATAGGGACCAAATTCAAATTCAGCAATAATTGCCTAAAATATTTTAAATTTGTCTACTTAAAAAGTTGAAAGTATATAACAATGGAGTCAAATTAAAAAAAAAAAAATTGGTTTCACGTATAAATGGTTAGAAACAACAAAAAACTTTACGTATATACATGAAATTAGAAAACCAATTACAGAGATCTTAAAAATCTTAAACACCAAAATCGATTCAACGAATATCTACATCACAGACAGCATTAGGGTTTTCTAGATCGTCCAACTGCAAGTTGATCACGTAATTAACAATAATTGAGTGTTACAATCAAACTACAATAGTTTGTGCAATCAATCAAATACTTCACAGTTTACATAATTTTTTTCCATGAAAATATTTTTAAAAAAGGGTTAAATATGTTTTTAGTCCCTAAACTATTGACCGTTTTTGGTTTTCGTCCCTCTTTCAAAGTAAGGTACAATTTAGTCCTCAATCTTTAAAAAACGTTCGTTTTAGTCGAAAAAACGAACGTTTTGAGGACTAAAACGAGAACTAAAAACAAAATTTTGAGGACTAAAACGAACGTTTTTCTAAAGAATGAGGACTAAATTGTACCTTACTTTGGAAGAGGGACGAAAACCAGAAACGGCCAATAGTTTAGGGACTAAAAACATATTTAACCCTTTAAAAAATTATAAGTAATAAAATATAAAAAACACTTCGATGTTCTAACCCTATATATATATATATATATATATATACACACACATATATATATAATCCAAGCTTGTATAGATTCTATGTAAAATATCTCAATCAACAGCATATAATTAGAATGTGTATAACCACAAAAAAAAAGAAAAAAAATGAGACAACAAAAAACTTTATCAGTAAAAAAATTGATATTTAACTACACACCACAACATTTTTACACTGCACAAATACTGATTAGGGTTGAAGTGCATGTATTATTATTTAGTCAGTGGCTTGGTAAATAATTATTACGAAACCCATTAACAATATATTATAGATCAACTTGTATGGAATTGTTTCAAGAAGATTAATTAAAAATATAAATTTTTGAACTTCAAAACTCTATGTTAAATAGTGAAAAAAAAAACAAAAAAGTTTTATGACTAGTAATAATATCTTGTTTGATTCGAAAATATGACACATGATGTCTAAAAAAACTACTATTGATATGCATATATACCAAGAAACAACTTACATGGTAATCGATGAGTATAAACCTGGCGTGATGTGAAAGAATCATTTTGGTATAAAAACGACAATACCTAGTTTCATTCCTTCTGGCACTTGTTGAAGATAGATTCCACATGAAAAACACTTGTAGGACACTGCACGTGTAATCCAGAGAGAGAAAGAGTGTACACAAGCCTTTGAATAGACTCCGTTAACCATGGGCTGAAGGAATAAAACATTCCCTTCAGAATTTAATTGCCAAACACAAACACAAAAACAACCTACTTCTGTTGACCAAACCTCAAACACCTTGTTCTTGTTCCTGTTTCTGTCTTCTCAAATCCACCCTCTTTTTCCATGTTCACATGGCCTAGAATTTTCATGTTCTTCACCACCCCTCCAAGATTCACCTACATATCAACAACATAAGACCAAGAAAAAACCAAAAATCAAGGTTGTTTCAAAAGGGGTTATGGAAGGAGAGAGAGGTGTTAATCCAAGCTACGATCTTCAAGTTTCATTCAGCAACACCCCTCAAGCAATCCACGAAATGGGTTTTGTCCAATTTGAAGAAAATCAGGTTCTTAGCTTCCTGACACCCTCAGCTCAATCCCAATCTTCTCAGCTCTCACAGTCTCTAACCGGTGGCAACACCGTCACCGCCGCCACAGTCACCACCACCATCACTACCACTACCACTTCTGGATCAGTTGGTTTTAACCATAATGACCTTGCATCCAGAAGTTCTTGGAACAATGAACAGGTGATATAAGTTTATTCTTATGTCTATATCTATCTATTCATGTTAACTACGATCTTTTACCTAATTATAGGTTTTTGTTTCTTGTATTTATTCGTTTTGTTTTTATGCAAGTCTCTTTCAATTTTAGGGTATGCTGTTTTGATCACTTTTCTGTGAAACGGTTTTTGCTTATTATATAAATGGTATACCATGAACTTTCAGGTTAGAACACTGGATCCTAAAGCTGTCAATGATGAAAATTGCACCGGAAATACCAGTGATGGCAACAACACATGGTATAC